CTAGTTCTATTCACAATTCATGAAGTCATGGAAAGACTTTGGGTGTCCTACTAGATTCTCTAGTTCTATTCACAATTCGTGGAGTCATGGTAGGATTTTGGGTGTCCTACTAGATTCTCTAGTTCTATTCACAATTCATGGAGTCATGGAAGGACTTTGGACGCCCTACTAGATTCTCTAGTTCTATTCATAATTCATGGAGTAATGGAAGGACTTTGGATGTCCTACTAGATTCTCTAGTTCTATTCACAATTTATGAAGTCATGGAAGGATTTTGGGTGTCCTACTAGATTCTCTAGTCCTATTCACAATTCATGAAGTCATGGAAAGACTTTGGGTGTCCTACTAGATTCTCTAGTTCTATTCACAATTCATGAAGTCATGGAAGGATTTTGGGTGTCCTACTAGATTTTCTAGTTCTATTCACAATTCATGAAGTCATGGAAAGACTTTGGGTGTCCTACTAGATTCTCTAGTTCTATTCACAATTCATGAAGTCATGGAAAGACTTTGGTTGTCCTACAAAATACCCTAGTTCTATTCACAATTCATGAAGTCATGACTTTGGATGCCCTACAAAATACCCTAGTTCTATTTGATACATGAGAATTTCAAACCATAAATAAGTTTGCTTGTTGTTTATACCAAATTCTGTGTGAACTAGAAACCTGTCTATTAAAATATATCAGTGTTTTTAATAAATATTGAAATTATAATCACGATACATTTCTTTTCACTCAGGTGGCTGGATGTTGGGGAAGATGACCAGGAAATTGAAAGAGAGTTGTTGCCAGGGAAACCAGGTAAACTTCATCAGTAAATGTCATCAATGGTATTTTATTTACCATGGTTCAATATTGTCACAAATTTAAACAATAAACCACAGCCCAGCAATGTATACATATACAAACAAGTGTCAATGTGCTTGTAGATGGAGTTCTGTACAAAATCAAATGGTATACATTCCAGGCTGTGATTTGTTGCTATTATACATGTATCATTGTCATTTTTGTTTATTTTAGGGACAACACAATATAAAATCATATAACAATTAACGTGCCAAAAACCTTTACATGTACTATTATGCTATATTGTACAATTCAAGCATGGCTCTCATAAATTAAATCATGGTCTCTTACAATCACAGAAATGTATTCGTTGCTGTCACGATGATACACTAGTAGAATATTTGATATCCCATGATTTATTTCTATTATGTAAATTGGACGATGATAAAAAAATATTTGCCTAGAGCAAGTTGAATATGGAATATGTATACCGATATATTAAAAGCAACACGCAGCATTTCCCAAGCTTTCCTTCAAGCTTCTTGTATAACAAATATAAAAGAATACCTCAAGGCAACTGAATTTGCACTGAATTTACCTGCTAATAAACAAAATGAGCTATAAAACAGTATTGAGCTTTATGCTGTTTGGTTTGAAAACCTTTGCATATACACAAGATTTGTTTGCACTAAGGTTAGCCATTTTGAATATGCAATACAAATATTCAGTAGTTTTATTGTGGCCTTTAAAGTGGATGGTGTTATCTTTTAATCAAACTTTATTTTAAGTTCACTTTATATGTGTTAGTGCAATTTTAAAATAGTCCTGTTTTCTACTGAATAAAATTTGTGCCCTCAAGATTTTTGAGCAGAAAAAAATACTTTCTCATTGGACTAGGATGGCACTGTGTGAACTGCATTGTGTAACAAAATTAATTTTCAAAAGTTTGGTTTCATTATTAGTTAGAATGAAATCCAAAAGCTGAGACCTGTGGATTGACCTTCATCCGTGAATCTCCAACTGTATCTCTGACATGCCTTGACAGCTCATCTTAAAACTGCATTTATTTATTACACATACATGTATACTTGTATTTGTTTGCTGATCAGATTCATAATGGCCAAATTGTGGCCCTGTTTACTGTTAAAAAATTCCTAAAAATCATACATTTCTACCATTGTGGAACTGAATCTCAGTTGTGTATGGATGAATTTTGTTACTTAGTACATATGTAGATATGGCATATTACATGTATGATGTAAATATGGTGTATTACATGTGGGATATAAATATTGTGTATTACATGTGGGATGTAAATATGGTGTATTACATGCGTAATGTAAATATGGTGTATTACATGTGGGATATGAATATAGTGTAATACATGTAGGATGTAATTATGGAGTATTACATGTAGATGTAAATATGGCATATTACATGTATGATGTAAATATGGTGTACAGCATATATTATGTAAATATGGTGTATACCATTTGGGATGTAAATATGGTGTATTACATGCGAAATGTAAATATGGTGTATTACATGTGGGATATGAATATAGTGTAATACATGTAGGATGTAATTATGGAGTATTACATGTAGAATATGGTGTATTACATGTGGGATGTAAATATGGTGTATTACATGTGGGATGTAAATATGGTGTATAACATGTGGGATGTAAATATGGTGTATTACATGCGGAATGTAAATATGGTGTATTACATGTGGGATATGAATATAGTGTAATACATGTAGGATGTAATTATGGAGTATTACATGTAGAATATGGTGTATTACATGTGGGATGTAAATATGGTGTATTACATGTGGGATGTAAATATGGTGTATAACATGTGGGATGTAAATATGGTGTATTACATGCGGAATGTAAATATGGTGTATTACATGTGGGATTGAAATATAGGTGTAATACATGTAGATGTAAATATGATGTATTACATGTGGGATGTAAAGGACTTAATAAATTTCATAGTGATCAACTCATTGTAAATTACAATATTCAAATTCCCACCAAGGCATATTTTAATAATTCATTTAGTGCTTCCTCATGTTGCTCAATTTAAGTAATTTAGATCAGTGTCATTTACATGTTTGATGTAGTTGTTCATCCTAGTGCTGACAATAACAATGTGTATAGCAGAATTGACAGGGTATGAAATTTAAAAAATGTTGTTTTCCAAGTCAGTTGAAGATATAGCCTTACATCCATCATTAAAAGACAAATTTTGTATGTTTTCTAACCAAGCCAGATCAAAAACTTAAGATCTTTAATAAAGCATCCTACTAAACCCACTGTGTGACACAACTGATCGCCCTACTAGCATTCTTGCTAGCTATCATCTCTATCCTTCCCCCCACACTGTGTTGCCTAGTAACCACTAACAACGACTAACTTTGGGTTTTTTTTTTTCTTTGCTAATATCCCATTCATCAGCAGAGGGAGAGTGGAAACTCGTCATCACTACCCATGAGGATTCATTCCTGCCGAGTGAAGCACTTGCATATCTTGTTGTGTATGGTGAAGATGGCAAGACTGAACCCATTGCTGTAGGTGGTGAACCTGCTCTTGAACCTGGCAATCTTGATGAATTTGATGTAAGTTTCTTTACTTACCTTTTTTTGTGAATACACAAATTGATTGGTGTAAAAGGATGTCATTTTTTACTGCTGTCTATGTAAATATGTCATTAGATTGTTATCAGTCTATTATCTAGATGTGTTTCAGTTGCGTAAACTTAATAGAGAATATTTTTTTCAGATAACACTGGACAATGTGGGTGAAATCTACAAGATACGTATTGGACATATAGATGAAGATGAGTGGGAAGGGTGGTATTTGGAAGATGTAGAGCTCAGAGATAAATGTTCAGAAGCTGTCTTTGCATTTCCTTTCAATCGATGGATGGCAAGGACGAAAGATGATTTTGACATTGTCAGAGAATTACCAGTTACCAAGGAGGGACAGGATCAACTCCCTGGTTTGTATTACTTTTAAACATCAGGATTTTATCCAAATCTAACATTAAATATTCTCAATAATGAGTTTATACCAATATGCTATAGAAAAAATGACAAAACATTGGTGTTACATTATTGGACAAATTGCAAAGTTAGCATTTCATCTTTTTAGCTCCGCTGTCGACGAAGTCAAGCGGAGCTTATAGTATTACTGATTGTCTGTCGTCGTCGGCGTACATTTTCGACTTCTTAAAAACCACAAACTGCATAGCTGTTAAACTTTTTAGGAAGGTACCTTGGGTGGTTCTCTCTCAGATTAGTTCATTTCTTGTGGATATGTTCAAGCGAATATTTCTGACATATTTGATACTTAGTATGTAGGTACCTTGGGTGGACCTCTCTCAGATTTGTTTATTTCGTGATGATATCTTCATTTCTCCAATTTTGATAAATATTTTTGTCATTTTTGGTGAAAAACGTTATTTTCAACTTCTTTTTGAAAACTGCTGATACGATTGCTTTGTAACTTTACATGTATTTGTAGTACCTTGGGTGGACCTCTATCAAATTTTTTCATTTCGTAATCATATCTTGAATTCTATATTTCTAGCGAATAGGTTTGTCATTTTTGGCTCAAAAATGATATTTTTGACTTATTCAAAATTGTTAACCTGAATGTCATGATTCTTGGTGTATATGTACCCTGGGTGGACCTATATCAGATTTGTCACTTCCTGTCAACATCTTCAATTCAATTCTAACAAATATTTTCATCATTTTCATCAAAAAATATTTTTTTGACTTGCTCTTCAGAACCAGTAGTTCAAATTCTTTGATACTTGTACACATGCAGCTTGGGTAGACCTCTATTAGATTTGTCCATTTCATTAGATCCTGATCTAATGCAGTATGTCCATTCAGTCACATATATGTAGATCCTGATCTAATGCAGTATGTCCATTCACAGTCACATATTTGTAGATCCTGATCGAATGCAGTATGTCCATTCACAGTCACATATATGTAGATCCTGATCGAATGCAGTATGTCCATTCACAGTCACATATTTGTAGATCCTGATCGAATGCAGTATGTCCATTCACAGTCACATATATGTAGATCCTGATCGAATGCAGTATGTCCATTCACAGTCACATATTTGTAGATCCTGATCTAATGCAGTATGTCCATTCACAGTCACATATATGTAGATCCTGATCGAATGCAGTATGTCCATTCACAGTCACATATTTGTAGATCCTGATCGAATGCAGTATGTCCATTCACAGTCACATATATGTAGATCCTGATCTAATGCAGTATGTCTATTCAGTCACATATTTGTAGATCTTGATCTAATGCAGTATGTCTATTCAGTCACATATATGTAGATCCTGATCTAATTCAGTATGTCCATTCACAGTCACATATATGTAGATCCTGATCTAATGCAGTATGTCCATTCAGTCACATATATGTAGATCCTGATCTAATGCAGTATGTCCATTCAGTCGCATATTTGTAGATCCTGATCTAATGCAGTATGTCCATTCAGTCACATATATGTAGATCCTGATCTAATGCAGTATGTCTATTCACAGTCACATATTTGTAGATCCTGATCTAATGCTGTATGTCAATTCACAGTATTTAAATATCAAGTACTAGTACATACCGGTGATAGATGGGCTGCTAATACTGACGCCAAACTATTTCTCACATTGTATGGTGAAAGAGGGGATAGTGGTGAAAGACTTCTATTCTACAGTAAAGATCACAATGAGAAATTCCAGAAAGATCAGGTGAGCCTTCATGAACCTA